TGATGTGCTCTATTGATCAAGCACTTTATCTCTCATTGTGGCAAGTCCATTGCTGTGATAGTTCTCTGATTCTATCCAAGTTTTCATGTATCTATGTATGCTACCACCCACGCAGTTGCTCAATGAACGAGAAATAGGTTTATACACAATTTATATGGACTTCCGGTTGCTTGGCTGCCCGACTGTGATGTCATAGCATGCGTCATAATTACTTCCGTATGGCAAAATGGCTACTTTGCCATTCACTTGTACAGCACTATAAACTCTTCTGGCAGGCTTCCTTAACTATGAGCATGGCTAATTCATGCTGCTTTTTCATTTGCCTAGATCCAGGGGTGCAAAGGAAGCAAAAAGTACTCGGATAGAGAACCAGTGAAGCGGCTGAAGTGAACACAGTCTTGTCTTGTTACTCCTATAATTATTGCTATCGCTACTTTTCTGCTTACTACTGCTATAATTGTACTCCTTTTCTGCCTTGTGCTGTATGAAAGAAGCTGTGGAAGAAGCAACTTTACTGCTGTAAACGAATGAGGCTCATTAATTTTTGCCATACAAAAGTAATTATGACGTCAAAAAGTGACGTCACTGCAACCGCTCTAGCTATACATTGCTTATTCATGTTGTAGATCTACTGAGGGGCGGGGTCAGTTATTATTCAAGTAGTTCTTTAACTTTTATTTTATAACTAGGGTGGGGCTCAGTGCTTTGCAAACTTGCTAAGGGCGTAGCTGCTCTGCTTCAGCAAAAATGTCAACCAAACCAGAGGAGCTGAAAAGAGCCTTTGACAGAGAACTTAGTGAGTAGATATTCATAATAATTGTTTTATTAGTATTATTAATGATAGATATTAGTGATTTTCAATTGGTATGGAAAAAAGCTAGTGTTCTTTCTGGACGCTGGGATTCAATGGCTATCATGTTAGGATTGAGCCCCAATAAGTTATATGAGATTGAAGCAGGGGGCAAGCCACCAAGAACTTGTTTCTGGAAAGTATTTGATTGCTGGTTAAAGAAGGACTATGACTATAAGAGTCATGGTGTCCCTACATTAAGAATGCTGTGTAACTCCATTAAAAGTAGTAGTGGAGGAGCTGATCCAGCTCTAGCTGATGAAATAGCAAAAGAATATACCATTAATCTTACTAGTAATGGAGAGGCCACTACATCACCAGTTCATGCTTCATCTTCTAAAGGTTAATATGATACAATAATCAATAATAATGATTAATAATCATTAATCATTATTTATAGAAGCTACTCCAACTTCTGAGCTACCAGTTCCTACTTCACCTCAATCTGAGTCTTCAGTTGTTTACGTTAAGAAAAAATCAATTGAATATTCACCCAAGAACCTGACACAAATGATTGGAGATCTGAAAGAAGTTTACCTTGATAATATGCATTTTACTAAGAAATCGTTTTGTTCCATTGATGTCTCAGAAGTTATTGACTTCATTCAAGATTATACTGAACTTTTACTCAGTCCACGTTTTCAAAAACCACTAATGATTGAGTCAATTGAAAAAGAGTTTGACCATGTTAAGACAATGAATCAGCTGTTTAAAACATTAAGAAAATACGTCTCATGGTTCAATTTTGAGCTTGTCGTCAAGT